GTAATGAAAGTAAAATTTAATTTGATTAAAAATTAATTATATTTTAAACTATAAAAGTTAAAGTCTTATCAAGATGAATTTAAAATGAAATAAAATAGAAATAAAATAAATAATATAAATATAAATAATTAATAAATAATATAAATATAATAAAAAATTTTAAAAAAATTTTTTAATTTACCAAATTCCTTCTTTACATTTTTTTTTTGCAAATATTTTCGAATTTATAAATTTTACCGAAATATTTTTCTATATCTAAACTTTACGCGGGCTAAATTTTAATATTTAAAAAGACTAATGAAAAAAAGGAAGTATTGAAATTAAAAAATGTTTTTCTCCTTTTTTCGCTGATTTTAGAGATATTGAATTTTTAACGAAATTTTTGTGAAGTTAAAAATTGATGAAAAATTATTTTTCCTATAGTGGAATACATATTGCATTAGAAGAAAATTCTTACTTAATATTTCTTTATACGAATTTTTAAAAAATATAGGAAAACATTTTTTTTTTATAATCGAAAATATTAATTTATAATTTTTTTTGTAATTACAAAATTAAAGTATGATATCATTTTAAGTAAATTTCAATTTTAATATAAAGTTATATTTTTAATTAAAAAAAACATAAAATAATTGTACAAATATTTTTTGAAAAAAGAAAGAAATTAATAATGGAAATATATACAAATAATAATTTTGTAGCATACATAAAGTACGTTTTTAATTCGTTAATATTTTTATGTCCATATTTTATCCATTCCGCAAGAATTATTTTTCCAATGTGTGAATTTTGTAAAATTTATATCAATTAACGAGAAATTTTTTTTTGCAAATCATACGATTTTTATACATTTGGAAAAAATCTTTTTTCATTTGATTACACACTTTTTCCTTGAAAATTTTATTTTTTTACATAATTTTACGAATTGGAAATTTTAACCATTTTTGTAATTAATATTTTTTTAAGTGCTTTCTTTTTTAAAGCACAATAACTTAAAGAAGGGACACAAATTCTGTGAAATGCCAACACTCAAAAACACGTGCGGTCAATCTTTATACTTTTTCAAAAAGGAAAAAAAAAAACCTTTTTTACGATTTGGGAATTTCAATTGACACTTTTAAAAGAAGAAAAAAAAAGTTCTCGACATTTTTTTTTCCACGTTAATCCGATGAAATCTGGTAAACAGATGATCCGAAAGTTCCATTGGCGCCTATACAGTGATCTGCATTCACTCCAAGACAGAAATGTCGTAAAATTCATTTGTTGTAAAAATAAAGTTGAGATTTTTAGGGTAATTATTTTGAAAGGATTTTTTTAAACCACTACTAAAATCTAACAAAACATGGCCGAAGACAAAAATATTTTAAAAGCCACGAAATTTTTACATTTTTTACATTTTATATTTTGTGGTCAAAAACTAGTGAACTATGACCAACGAAAAAAATATTTTAAACCCTCAAAACATCAATATTTTTAACATATCCGAAAATTTAAATATCTAATAAACTATGTCCAACGGGAAAACTAGTTTAAATCTGAAAATTTCTATATTTTGTCTATGGTAATAGTTTAGGAAAACCATGGCTAAAGATAAAAATAACTTACTAACTAACTTACTAACTAACTAAATAACTTAATAACTTTCTAACCTACTAATTAACTTACAAATTTAATTACTAATTAATTTACTAACTAACTTAACTTACTAAATAACGTACAAACTTAATTACTAATTAACTTTCTAACTAACTTACAAACTGAATTACTAATTAACTTAGCAACTAAGTTACTAATTTACTTATTAACTAACTTACTAATTAATTTTCTAACTAATTTACTAACTACCTTAATAAGTGACCTACTGACTAACTTACTAATTAACTTACAAACTTAATTGCTAATTAACTTACTAACTAACTTACAAACTTAATTACTAATTAACTTACTAATTAACTTACTGACTAACTTACTAACTAACTTACAAACGAACTTACTAACTAACTTACTAATTAGCTTACTAACTAAACTTACAAACTTATTTATTAATTAACTTACTAATTAATTTACTAACTAACTTACAAACTTAATTACTAATTACCTTACTAACTAAATTTACAAACTTAATTACTAATTAACTTACTAATTAACTTACTGACAAACTTACTAACTAACTTACAAACTTAATTACTAATTAACTTACGAACTGAACTCACAAACTTAATTACTAATTAACTTACGAACTGAACTCACAAACTTAATTACTAATTAACTCACTAATTAGCTTACTGACTAACTTACTAACTAACTTACAAACTTAGTTATTAATTAACTTACTAATTAATTTACTAACTAACTTACAAACTTAAATTCTAATTACCTTACTAACTAAATTTACAAACTTAATTACTAATTAACTTACTAATTACCTCATTAATTAACTTACTAATTACCTTCATAATTAACTTACTGACTAACTTACTAATTAAATTTACAAACTAAATGACTAATTAACTTACTAATTAACTTAATGACTAACTTACAAACTTACTTACTAATTAACTTACTAACTAAATTTACAAAGTTAATTACTAATTAACTTACTAACCGAACTTATCAACTTACTTACTAATTAACTTACTTATTAACTTACTAACTTACAAACTTAATTATTATTTAACTTACTAATTAACTTACGAACTTAATTACTAATTGACTTACTAATTAATGTACTGACTAACTTACTAAATAATTTACTGACTACTACTATTACTTATCTAGTAACTTACTAACTGAACTTACTAACTAACTTACAAACTTAATTACTAATTAACTTACTTATTAACTTACTAACTAACTTAATAACTAACTAGGTAACTAAGTTACAAACTTAATTACTAATTAATTTAATTAAGTTACTAACTTATTAACTTGTTAACTTACTAACTAACTTACTAACTTATTAACTTACTAGCTGACTAACTAATTTATAAAATTACTAACTTAGCAAGGTATAAAGTAACAAATTTAGTTAGTAACTTAGTTAGTATCTAAGTAACCATGGACAATGACAAAAATATTATAAACCCACAAAATATTAAAGTAGTGAACCATGGCTGAAGAAAAAAATATTTTAAACTCTCAAAATATCCATATTTTGACAATGCCCGAAAATCTAATAAACCATGGCCAACGAAAAAACTATTTGAAATGTGAAAATTTCTGTATTTTAAGTATGGACACAATATATGAAAAACATGTAAATTTATATATTTTGATCATGGTCACGAATATGTTCATAATTCGCGGACATATTTAATGGTCACAAATATGATCCCTATTCATGGACATGTTCTCAATGGTCACGATCATGATTGTTGTTTTAGCACACGAGAATAAATCACATACATGTTCAGAATTTGAATCACGAGCATGTTCATAATTTGTTCCCCACTAATTATGAACATGTTCATAAATTCATGAACATATTTAATGGTCAGAAACATAATCATAGTTTAAGGTGCAATCATGTTTTTAATCACGAGCATATTTGCATCTAGCGTTCACGAATCACGAACATGTTCATAGTTGTGATCTCCTAAATTAGGAACATGTTTATAATTTGTGACCCTAACATTAGGAACATGTTTGTAATCCAATGGACATGTTTAATGGTCAGAAACATAATCATAGTTTTAGGTACAAATATGTTTTTAATCACGAACATGTTTGCAATTAGCGATCACGAACATGTTCATAATTCATGGACATGTTAAATGGACAGAAACATAATCATAATTTTAGGTACAATCATGTTTTTTGATCACAAAAATGTTCGCAATTTGTGATCACGAACATGTTTTTAATTTGTGACCCCACAAATTAGGAAAGTGTTCATAATCCATGGACATGTTTAATGGTCAGAAACATAATAATAATAATTTTAGGTACAATCAAGTTTTGTATAATCATGAACATGTTCGCAATTCGTGACTACGAATCACGAATATGTTCATAATTTGTTACCCACTAATTATGAACATATGTTCATAAATTCATGAACATGTTTAATGGTCAGAAACATAATCATAGTTTAAGGTGCAATCATGTTTTTAATCACGAACATGTTTGCATCTAGCGTTCACGAATCACGAACATGTTCATAATTTGTGACCCCAACATTAGGAACATGTTTATAATCCATGTACATGTTTAATGATCAGAAACATAATCATAGTTCTAGGTACAATCATGTTTGTTAATCACGAAAATGTTCGCAATTTGTGACCACGAATCACGAACATGTTCATAATTTGTGATCCCAAATTATGAACATGTTCATAATTCATGGACATGTTTAATGGTCAGAAACATAATCATAGTTTTAGGTACAATCATGTTTTTTAATCACGAAAATGTTCGCAATTTGTGACCACGAATCACGAACATGTTTATTGGTCAGAAACATAATCATTGTTTTAGGTACAATCATGTTTTTTGATCATGAAAATGTTCGCAATTTGTGACCACGAATCACGAACATGTTCATAATTTATGATCCCAAATTATGAACATTTTCATAATCCATGGACATGTTTAATGGTCAGAAACATAATCATAGTTTTAGGTACAATCATGTTTTTTTTAATCACGAACATGTTCACAATTCGTGAACATGTTTTATAATCACGATCATGTTCAAAAATCGTATACACAATTTTGCAACCGCGTCTATCTTCCTTATTATGAAACTTTCATCCAAACTTTGTAAACGCAACAACTTCAAAAGTGTCACAATAAATTTACGATATCACTGCACCTGATAGCGTCTAAAACCAAAAAGCGTATACATATACCTTTAAGTAAAAGTGACTCATTCCCGTAATTTACCGTTCTCCACTGTTTGATAGATGCTAATAAGTAACAGAAGCAAGAAAATGCAAACAAACAAAGGCAGTCAAGTGCAAGAGCGTGAATGTGACAGAGGTAGAGTATACGGTGTGGTGTGTGCACGTTGTGCGATTCTCGTTCCAGACGTCCAGACGTTCCGAGTGAGACGCTAGATGATCATCCAGAGTTGGTAAATATATGAGAGAGAGAGAGAGCCTAAAAAGGGGAGGGGGGAGATCCTCTCTCACTCGTTCTTTCCGCACACTGAAAAGAGATCGAGTTCGGCAGCGTAAAAGTTTCTCGAAAGGTGGTAGTGGGGGGGAAGGGGGGAAGGCATAGGCTCACATCGCCGTCGTTAGCAGCCGCACGGTGCGCTAGTTTCGGCTTGCCGCTCCGACGTGACGGTAGTCTCTTTGTCGGCGTCACATTTAGTGCGCCGAGTCGGCATTTTTCGCGAGTGAAATACTCTCGTTTCCAGTGTGCAAAAAAATAAAAATAAATTTAAAAAAAATAGTGTTAACTCAAGTGCAATCGACCCTGGATTTAATTAGTGATTTTCTTCGTTTTCTGTGGGCAAAAAAAAAATAAATATCATCGTTTACAAGTGTTTTCAGTTTGTACAGTGTGAATAAGCAAAAAAAAATTAGTTTACAAGTGTGTTTAAATAGTTTCATTATTTGGATTACTCTCTTCTTTACATCAGTTTTGGATTTTTGCTTCATTTTTCAAAAAAGGTGAGTCAGTTCCCGGTTGGGAACTTTTTTTTCTCCTCTTTCCATTTGGAGCCGGCTTTTTAAGCTTTGGGAGTTTTTATAGGAATCTGAGGATATTTAAGGAAGCTGGAAACCTTTTCGTCTTCAGAATTTTTCTGGAAGATAAATTTTTTTTTCACCTTTAGGATTTTTTATAATTCAACGATTTTTTAGGTTTTCAGGATATTTTAGGATTCAAAAATTTTTTTCGGTTTCGAGGATACTTTTGGATTCAAGATTTTTTTACGATTCGAGGATACTTTAGGATTCAGGACTTTTTAGTTCTGAATTCATTTTTCAGGAATTTTAGGAATCTGCAAATTTTTAGAAAGCCCAGAAGTTGGGATTCGGATTCAAGGGCGATAACCTTTGAGATCTCTGGAAGTCAAGGATCTCTATCTCTGGATTTTTTAGGATTCGAAGATATTTTAAGATTAAAGATTTTTTTAGGATTCGAGGATAATTTCAGATTCAAGACTTTTTTTAGGATTCGAGGATACTTTAGGATTTAGTTCTGTTTTTTTCAGGAATTTTAGGATTCTGCAAATTTTTTAGAAAGCCCAGAAGTTGGGATTCGGATTCAAGGGCGATAACCTTTGTGATCTGTGGAAGTCAAGGATCTGTTAGCAAAATAGAATTCTTTATCGCTGAATTTTTTTAGGATTCAAGGATCTTTTCAAAGTATCAAATGTCTTTGACCTTTAGGATCTTTTAAGATTCAAAGATCTTTAGGAAGACGAATATTTCTCAATTTTAGGATTCTCTGGAAAGAGTTTTAATTTCAGGATTTTGTATTTTTCAAGAATCCTTAGGAAGAAGAATCCAAAATTTTAGGATTTAATGCAATTTCAGGAAGCCAAGAAGTTAACTACCTTTAGGATTTTTAGGACTCAAAGATCTCTTGTCATTTTTAGGATTTTTAGAACTCAGGAGTCCTTAAAAATCCTAAATATCTTTCGCTTTTAGGTTTTTTTTAGGATTTAAAGATTTCTAGGAAGTAACAATATATTTTCATTTTAGGATCTTTCGGAAGCCAAAGCTATTCGAATTTAAGATTTTTCGGATTCAAAGATTTTATAGAAATTTTTGGATTTTGGATCATTACGAAGACAAAACTTGTTTAAATTCTAGGATTTTTAGGAAAACCTGTAGTTTGTAAGAGGATTTTAATTTTAGGATTTTTTAGGTTTCGAAGATTTTTAGGCAGTCACATTTGATTTTAATAATAGGATCTTTCGGAAAACAAAGTTATTCAGATTTAGGATTTTTTCGGATTCAAAAGATTTTATATAAGTTTAAGGATTTTAAGATGATTAGGAAGGCAAAACTAGTTGAAGTTTTAGAATTTTTAGGAAATATGTAGTCTGTAGGATTCAGGATTTTTTAGGTTTCAAGAATTTTCAAGAATTCTAGAATTCAATGAATATTAAGGAAAGGCAAAATTTATCATTTTTGGGTCTTAAAAATCTTAAGAAATCCAAAATATCTTTCAGTTTTAGGATTTTTTCGGATTCGAAGATTTTTAGGAAATTTTTGGATTTTTACATTTTAAGACTCAAACATCTTTAAAAATCGAAAAGGTCTTTTATTATTAACATTTCTTAAAGGTTTTTGCAATTATTATAAAGCCAGTGTTTTGCTTTTTTTAAGTTTCAAGAATTTTTAGGAAATTTTTCGGATTCAACGAACTTTTAAAAAGTCTAAATAAAAGGTTGTTGACTTTTAGAATTATTAGGACTCAAAGATTTTTAATAAAGCCTAAGTTTTGGTATTTAAAAAATCTTTCAAGGAGCTTAAAATTTTTCGAATTTTAGGATTCAGAAATTTTTCCGAATACTAAATAGTTGATGAATTTTAAGAGTATTGGGACTCGAGTATTTATTTGGAATATTCAGGATTTCTTAGGATATTTTTCTTATTATCAAGAATCAAAAAATTTTTTTTGAGATTTTAGGATTCAAAAATCTTAAAAAGCCAAAAATTTCATAATTTTTAAGATTTTTTAGAAGTCAGCTGATGTAGTTTTCAGCAAAACAAAATTATATTCTGCTCTTTTGATCCTAAAGAAACTTTTTTTCAAAAGTGTCTCAAAAACCAAAACTTTTGTCATTTTTGAAATTTTGTGCAATGCAAATATTTTTAGGATTCTATGGATTTAAAAACTTTTGGAATTCGCCAAATTTTGTCAATTTCAGGTTTTTTTAACTTTAGTTTTTTCAGCTTTAGGATTCGTTGGGATTCATGGACTTTTTAAAAATTTCAGACTTAAAAAAATCTTCCAAAATATGAAAAATTTAATTTTCGTATTTCGGATCCGAAATTTCAGAAATTAAAAATCATAGGATGCTGAATTTTTCTCTAAATTTTAGGCTTTGAAAAATCTCAGGACGCTAAAATTTTTTTTTTCTAAAAGACCGAAAGTATTTTGCTTTTAATATTTTTAGAATTCAATAAGAATTTAATGTTTTTCCTTTTGTGTTTTAATGAGAAAATTAAAAATGAAATACACACCTGAAGAGAAAAAAAGAATCAATTCCAAACGTAAGAATGATTAGTTATTAAGAAAAATCTACGATCGAAATTTTTTATCATCGTGAATAAAACTTTTAAGATTTCCAATTCCATTTGCAGTTTTATGATCAAGTTTAATGATCGTCGGTTGTTATATTATTAAACCTGAAAACTGAAATGGATCTTATTAGTGAATTTAAGTGCGTATATTTTATTATTGTTTTTAGAGAGGTAATATCAAGTGAATTGTAATTGAATCGAAAAATTATGTTCACGATTATTGTAACATAATTTTTTTTTTTTACATTTTCGTCCTTGAATTCGTTTGAAAACATGTGTTTTTAAAATTATAGCTGGTATTTCAAGAAAAAAAAAAAAAAAAAAAAAAAAAATTTGTACATAATTGACATCAGTTGAAAAAAAGGTCTATAAACCTTGGGAGGAAGAAAGAGAGAAATTGAAGTGTGCGAGAGCACCTCTTGCTTGATGAGAGAACAGATGTTTTTTGGGGGTTTTCGTTTCTGAATGAGATAGAGGCCGGCAGGTAGAAAATTTAACCCAACGCACACAATGTGATTTTGAACAGAACACAAGAGAAGAAACTTATGAGAGCGAGACCCAAAGAGATATATAAGTACTAAAAGGGACTTTCGAAAATTGCCTCTTTTCAAGTGCCCCACTCGTGTATATTTTAGAAAAAGAAGTGACCAAACTTATGTTGTATAATCATGTTTTTGAGATAATAAGAATTTTGTTTTTCGTCGAGTGTGAATCTTTCTTTCTTATCTCAGAAACAAGAGAAGGCATTGTAGACGTACCATGAGAAGCTGAATTGTACACACTCTTTACGAGTTTGAGTAAACTTTCCTGCTTTTAGGAAAAAAAATACACTTTTTAAAATCTAAATTTTCTTCTTCTTGCAAGAAAATCATCGAAAGTGCCATTTTTTCAAACTTCAAAGCTAAAAAGCTTCATGAATACCACGCTAAATTTAAAAATGATGCATTAATGAATTATTCATTGAAATATGCAGAATAGAAAGAAAATAGTTTGAATTTTCGAAAAAGGTCCATCATTTTCATCATTTTCCAAAAAATGTCCAAAGTGCCATTTCTGTCAAATTCCAAAGCTAAGAAGCGTACTATGTACACTACGATAAATTTCGAAATGAAATTAATAATTCATTAATGTGGCATTACGGAATTTTCATTATATTCCAAAAAATTGTCAAAAGTGCCATTTTTGGCAAACTTAATAGCTAAAAAGCATCATGAAGACGACGCTCAATTTAAAAATTATGCATTAATAAATTGTTTATTTAGTGATGCTGAATAGGAAGAAAGATGTAAGAATTTTCGGCAACGCCAGCAATTTCCATTTTTTTTTTTGCAAAAAACTATCAAAAACTGTCCAAAGTGACATTTTTTTCCAACTTCATAGCTAAAAATCATAATGAAGACTTCGCTAATTTTCGAAATTATGCATTAATTAATTGTTTATCTAAATATGCAGAATAGGACGAAAATAGTTTAAACCTTAAAAAGGTTCAAAATTTTCATCATTTTCCAAAAAAATGTCCAAAGTGCCATTTTTGTCAAATTTCAAAGCTAAAAAGCATCATGTAGGCCACGCCAAATTTTCGAAATAAAATTAATAATTCATTAATGTATCATTCCGAAATTTTCGTCTTATCCCGAAAAACTGTCCAAAGTGCCATTTTTTAAAACTTTATAACTAAAAATCATCATGAAGACCTCGTTAAATTTCAAAATAATGTATTAATAAATTGTTTATCTGAATATGCAGAATAGGAAGAAAATAGTTTGAACCATATGAAAGTCCACAATTTTTATTTTTTTCAAAAAACTGTCCAAAGTGCCATTTTTTTCAAGCTTCATAGGGGAAAAAGCATCACGAAGACCACGCTAAAATTGAAAATAATGCATTAATAAATTGTTTATAAAAATATGCTACATAGGATGAAAATAGTCCAAAGTGCCATTTTTGTCAAACTTCTAAGCCAAAAAGTTTCATGAAGACCATGTTTAATTTCAAAATAATGTATTAATGAATTAAAAAAATTTTTTTTTTTAATGGCATTGTGAACTGTTGAAAAAAACTATAAATTGTAAATTGTTTTTCGAAAATGTAGTAAGACAACCTTTTAAATTATGAATATTTTGATTTTGAACCTTTTCGAAAATTGTTAAATATTCTGCAATTTATGTAAAACATTTCGTGTCTATATATATAGTACTTGGTTGCTATATTATTACCTCAGTGTTTATATGGAAAATGTAAAACAACTTTTAAAATTTATTCAAAATCTCATATTTCTCTCTGTAAATATGAGTTTATTACTTTTAACTATTTGAAACAGCGCAAATTCATTCACTAAATAAATTATTATTATTATTTTTGAGTACTTTTCATATTAAAGAGAATTTACTACTTTGTGGTAAAAGTAATTA